CTTGCACGAGACATGAATGCGCATGTCATCTGAGCTCTTCAGAAGCTCTACTAGGTAGTAAATATGGACTTAACTCGGACCGTATGCATGACGGCGAGTGTCTGTTGCAGCTGATTCTTAGCAATACTGCTTTCAGACACGGCGCTGTAGTGCCACTTGGCATCCTCCTGTAGCTGACCAGCGATGGACCCAAGTACATCACGTTGCCATAAATTACAGGTAGCGTGGTTTCATGCTGGATCATCGCTCTTTCTGGAGTACTTGCGGTCCACTCTGTTCATGTCTTGGTACGCTGTCGTTTTTCAGTGCTCTTTACCGGGAGGTGTACCAAACATCTCCCTCTATTGAGAACTGAGAAATTCAGAGATAATTCATCACAGTTCACTCCCAGTCAGCAGGTTTTGGCACTTCTGAAAAAGCACCAAACAGCGCTGTTTCGACCTTCTGGATATTTTCAGTGGTGCGCCTTCCTCGAACTCTTGCCGGGTTCCGACCCCATGAATTCCGGATGCCAACAGCTTGTGCCACTAAGCCATGGGTGACGGCTGCGGGCCTGCATGATCGACAGTTAGCTATGATATAGCCCGACTCAGCTTCCACTGCCATGCCAATTACGAACTGTGCTCGTGGGGTTAACTGCTTTCCTCTGCACACTTCGTGACTGGCATCATAGTGGAAGATGAGCTGCGCTGAGTCATAGCTAACTGTCAATCATGCAGATCCGCGACTGTCACCCTTGGCTTAGTGGCACAAGCTGTTGGCATCCGGAAGTCATAGGGTCGGAACCCGGCAAGAGTCCGAGGAAGGCGCACCACCGAAGATACTCAGAAGGTCGAAACGGTGCTGTCTGGTGCTTTTCCAGACGTGCCAAAACCTGCTGACTGGGAGTGAACTGTGATGAAGTACCTCTGAATTATACCAAAAAATCCTTGCTACTCAATAGGAATTGAGAATTTATCTCAGCCCTCGCTCAGACAAGCTTACCAGGATGCTCTTCATACCAAACTTTCGCTCTATTGTCCTGATGATGCTGAATTTTTGTGGAATAGGATCTTGGCCGCCATGCACGATGCAGGCGCCTCCGCTTGCGGCACTAGATATCCGAGAGGTCAGTGAACTTGTTGAAATCCAGACGTAAATCCCCAGCTGGCTCTGAGCACAGTGTAACTAGGCGAACTATTAGGCGCGAACTGAAGCAGAGCCTGCCTGTTGACAGGGAAGCCTGGTGGACTAGTAAGGCTCAAGAAATGAAGCATGCTTGATTGCTGGACACTTTTTCTGAGCTTTTCCACCTGATCCGCACCACTGGTCTCAGGAAACCAGGTGTCGATGAGACAGTCAGAGACAGCGCGGGTGCCTTGACTCACCATAAGGAGCGCCGTATGGCTCGCTGGGCTGAGCAGTTTTGAGAGCAATTCAGCTGTCCCCCTGCTTCTGGACCTCTTCCTACTCAGGTGTTGCAGGCTGAGCCATGACTCGTTTTTTAGTGGCTCTATCGTAGGCTTAGGTCTGAAACGTGATCACAGCCCTTAATCCTTTTCGTGCTCCTGGGCCGGATTCTCCTGCACTCGCAATATTTAGGAATGGTGATGAGGTACTATGCTAAGCACTGAGCCCCCTGTTCGGACAAACCTGGAGCAGAGAGGCCATCCCAACTAACTGAGGTGAATCATTTATAGTGTTAATACACAAGAAGGCAGTCGCACCGACTGTGCTAACCACAGGGGTATTAGCTTAACGCCAGTTATGACAAGATTTCTGACCCGAATTCTCCTTCGTCGCCTCACTGCTGAACGGGACTCCCGAATTAGAGGAGAGCAAGCAGGGTTCCGCCCTGGATGGGGCTGTGTAGATCCCATATTCAGTTTGCGACACTTACTAGCTCAGTGCCACACGTACCGCAGGCCGACAATAGCTGTGTTCGTAAACTTCAGTAGTAGGTTCGGCTCAGTCGATCGATGCATTTTGTTCAACTTACCTTTGTGGGAAGATGTTCTCATGGAATATGTGAAGCTCTTACGTGCGCCGTACTCGAACACTACAGGCCGCATCCGGGTGTACGGTGATTTGTCTGATGCCTTTCTGACAACAAGTAGGGTCCATCATGACTGTCCAATTTCCGCACCTTTGTCCAGTTCCATAGTGGACTTCATCATAGATTCTCACGATACAGGCGTTGAGGGGGCTGCCTGGTGAGAATCTATTTGGTCTTGATTATGCGAACAATATCGTCTTGCTGTTTAACGATGAATAGCCACTTTAGATTGGTCCCATTAATTGGTATGCGGTTCGCCACTTCAAAATGCAAAGTGTTGTTACAGGACCACCAGCCACTTGCTCACCCCTTGATGGCGAGGAACTCGAGGTAGTTTATCACTTCACTTACCTTAGCGGCTGTAACAGCAGCGATGGGCGCATAAGGACTGAAGTCAGTTCGCGTATTGCAAAAGCCAAATCTGTCTTTTTGAGTCTGCGACATCTTTAGTGTCAGAAAGGTGTTTCCGTCCGTCTAAAAGGCTGTATATACAAGGCCACAGTAAGAGCCGTCCTGCTCTATGGGAGTGAGACTTGACCCCTTCAATTTGATGATCTGAGGCGGCTTCAAGTTTTTGATAATCAATATCTATGACTTCTTGCTGGTGTCGCAGGACACTGAATAAGTTGTGTTGACTTGGGCACGTACTACGTATGCCCGGTCACCGCTTACCGAGAGGAGGCTTGTTTGGTTTGCCAAATGTAGGGTGGCGCAAGGCTCGAGGTGGGCAGAAATTAACTTGGCAGCCTGAAATGAAGACACTGACGATCTACATCGGTACCCTCGGTCCATCTCGTCTTTCTGGTTGGATTCCACGTGACACGCCTTGTGCTTGGCTTGAGACATGGCTCGCAGTCTCCACCATTGCCATGTCTGTTGTCGTCTACTTGTCGGACTGCGTATTTAAAATGTGTTTGGTGCTGAGTTATCTGCGGGATAATGATTAATTATGACGCGGGGCAGTGCAAGCCGCAATGAAGCTGTCTCGCGGATGCCCCCTTATCTCTTTACACGATAGCCAGCTGTTTGTGACGGTATGTTGTTGACACAGGATGCAGGCGTCCTGACTCTGAATCTTTGTTTAGTGCATTAAGTTTTTACACCATACCCTTTCTCTCCGTCTTGTTATTCTTTGTTCCGTAGGTCACCGTGTTTGTACGGCAACGAGACATCAGTCCAAATTGGTGGGGTAGTGATGTTGATGTTTCACTTTTGTTAAGCTGTTGGAATACCACGCCGTTCCTCGTTAACCGTGCGCTTTCTCCACCTGCTGTACTCGTGACTTATGTGCTAGGCATTCCAGTTGGCTAATTGTCTCTGCTATGCTTGAAATAAGCATGGCCAGTATGGTTTCCACAAGCCGGTTGTACCGACCTTAACTAGCTTTATTTTCACCGCTCAGTCTGTTCCACCTTATCATACGACTTGGCGATCTGTGCTATCGCTTCAAACTCGTCTTTTTGTCTGTACGGATTTCCGTCTTTCCGGAACCTCTGTGGTGTACTACTGTCATTTCACCTTCGACAGAATTTCTTCTGATTTCTCTATGTATTGTCCACGTGGTTATTTCTAGCCAATTTATCCATAAGGACCTTCGTAGCGTATTCTCTGTACACTACATGCGTCGCGTATTTTCTCTCTAAATTTTTCATGTTACTTATATCATTCGGAATGGTCCACGCATTCGTTCGCTCTTTCACCAATTAACAATCACTCCCTCCTAACAAACTAAGGGCTTCCCCTTGCTACCCGTTTTTTTGTCACCCACACTTGGTGTGTCTTCATTCACTAACTGGTTAGCGCTTCTCTCTGTCCCGGATACACCCAGTTCGGAGCAGTTCGGAGCGATGGGTTCGGTTACAAATTGGGTTTTGCGTTAGAAGACCCCACCTACCTGTGTCTGCCCCATCTAATGCATATTCTTGTGACGAAGCTACGAATATAAACCAATCCGCTCAAATTCATGCACTACGCCTGCTGGACATTCTACCCTACATCTAACTAGGATTCAGTCATTCATCAAGCTAGTGGCCATTCGGTATTTTCGATGGAGGGCACGCGCATTACTGTTGATTGTTACTCACAATGTTACCATATAGACACGTGCTGATCTTTCAGGTCTGTACCTTCATGTCTGTGCAGTGGCCTGGTACGAAACTCTGTTTGACCGTGTGCCATCCAAGTTGGGTGTCTGTGAGTCAACTCACTTTTCGCCTTTATACACAACTCGGTGTGCATGACGTATCCTTTCTTCTTCCGTCTTGGGTGAATTTTCCACACTCATTCGCATCCTGTAGTTGCGTTGACATGCAATCTTTTCTTTGGTAGACCAGGCCTAGTAGCGTATTCGTTCGCGGCGTTAGGTTCTTTGCCCAATTCGCCTTGGTTCTGTTCGTCTTGATAGCTGCTTCGCCGTCCGGCCGGACGCACGGTAAATTCTGACCTTTTTCAAGTCTTCGATCTGTTTTTCGCAAAACTACGCTCACGCTTATGCGAATTTACTGACTGAAGTAAATCCATCTCAGTTGATCAGTTTGCTTTCATCTTTCTTTTTTGCCCAATGTGTTCGTCCGCTTACTTGCCTGCATCCTCGGATTCTAATTTCCAATTAATGTTTTGATTGATGTCAAGTGTTGGCGTCCCGTGGCTGTTCCACTTACTACCGCGCACTTTTTCTTGTTTACCCAAACGCATTTCTCATGTACAAGGGAATACCCCGGCCTTTCATATACCATACGACCGGAGTGCATTTATACACCTTTTGGTTTTTTCCCAGCCAATCACGCCTGTTTTGCTTTATGGTCTCTTCTGACAACAACACTGGCCAAGAGTTTTCCATGTTACCATTACACGATAACTATTTTGATATACGTAGCGCGACTCGGCATGTAACACCCTTTTCCTGGTTTCTTGCCCGTGCTATTTGCCATCTTCTCCTTCTGGGTTTGCCGATACTTCGTTTTAGAAACTGTCTGCCGTCTTGCTCGTCTCGGATCTTCCGTTGTTAATGGGAGTAGCAATGAACCCCGTCTAACCTCGGAGGAAATCAGCCTGCCCCGAAGTGACTTTCGTCATGTCGGTCATGTTGGACGGGATGGGACCACATTCGGCAACCTTGGCTTCGAATCTCGCGAAAAGGATGGTAAGTACGGTTACTAACGCTTCTCAAAGCACTGTACCAATTTAATCCGCACCGTTTTACTTTTACATGTAAATTGAAGGGTCATCAGCTTCTGATGTTATTTCTGTGATTCTCCACGTTTCTTCTCACCGCTTTCTTTTTTTTACTACTGCAGAAGTTTTCGGCAGATATTATATAGCCCCAACATAAATGGAGGCTATCCATCGTCTGTTTGTCTTTTTTGTTGTGCCGGTTCCCCCTTATTATTTATAAATTGCTCCGCTGAATGCAGACTATTAAGAATTAAGTTAATCCCTTCCAACAAACGAGTTTCCGGTGTTTTTACTCATTGTTGTATATATTCGAATCCTCTTTTCCTACACTTCTCTTCCTCATATTCTATGAGATTAACTTGATTTTCATCTTACTATTGCTGCTTGATTACCTCGCCTAATGTCAAATACTGCCTCTCGCTCTTTTTCGCTCTCATAAACACGCGTTCATCAAACATGTGCTCTGTCTCACTGATCATCGCCAATAATGGCTGTTCACTTGTCCCATTAACTGACTGGCAATGTTGAGCTCAGCTGGTTTCCTGCCTATCTCATTTATTACGACTGAAAAGTAGGATATCAATTGCTATTTGTTTCTGCTGCATTTTCGGCTTAACTATGTGAAGATCATTTTTAGTAATGTCCTCTCTTCTTTCAGATGGACTGTCCCCCAACGAACACGATTCTCTAGGTAACGCTCATCCAGTAAGTCGTTCCTCTTCAGTGTCTTTCGCATAAATACCCTTTGTTCTCTCTCACCGGATCGTCTGCTCGCTCCACTCCGCATTTTACGGACATCTACTTATCCTTGAAGATATCCTCCTCTCTCTTCCGGTATTCCCTGTGAAATCGACACTCATGGGACCTTTTACTCTCAGTGGCATTATCTATCTTCCCTAATTTTTGAAAATCCTCATTCGCTCCTTAACCCTAAAAGTGTACAAAGCTTGTACAGTTTATCACTGCATCGAAAAAGGTTGCGGTCGCTCTCTGTTCACAAAATCTCATGGAATCTCCACCACTATATCGCTTCTTCTGGTTGCGTCAATCGGCTCACCGCCGTTTGGATACACTTCCGCGACCCCTGGAGAGTTCATTCTTATTCGCACTCGCTCGTCGTGGCCTTATTAGCCACACTCCATTGGTCGTTTAATGAAGCACGGGAAACGGGAGCATTCCGTTATCACACTTATAATCAAAACAAATGAAGCTTTATCCGCCCGTATGGGCGCACTTTCAGCATTTTTACTGCAACAGTGCGGAATATAATACGACAAAGCATCCATGAGAAATAACAATTGACAGCAGTAAACGAAAATTTTCATCTTCAATCAAGCATGCGGCCACGAAAACGGCATTTTACTCCTGTTGGGTCGATTAGTAAGCGTGATAGATAACGCAGGATAGAGTTTCGGTACCATAAGGTATGAGACTATATAACTTCAAATTTCGACCATGTGGAAGAAGTAGATATACTGTCGCCTTGGATAGCATGTTAAGATTGACAAGCTTCGTCCAAAATCCTGCATGAAAGCTGATGCATGCATCAAAATGTTTGTTAACGACAAATCTATGAGCGGATCATTCCTTAATTCAGAGCATCGAGAAACGAATACTGGCGAACGGATAAGAAGGACATAAAGTTTTTGAAGAAGTTCGGGGGAAAATATCAGGAAAACTGTATAACCAATGAGAGTGAATGCATGCAATTACAAACCTTAGAATCAAAGCACGGGGAATGGAAGCAATTTGAGCCTAAGCGCTTAAAAAGAGAGCCTTCTAACCTTTTTAAGAGTTTCAAGGATATGTGTAAACCAAGCAAATTTGTGAGATAGGAAAACTCGAGATATTTTACAGTAGCTGTGTGAGGTACCCTTCGATAATCCACAGTCCTAGGAACCAAGATATGTTCAAGGCACCGCAGTCTGTTGGGGTGTACAAAACGGAAGGTTATGTCACAACACTTAGAAGGGTTCATAAAGATGGATCGGGAGCTCGTCCCAATCACTAGTTCGTCTAAACCTCGTTGCTGTTTCAAAGAGTCCTCGATGATTTGGGTTATGCGACCCAAAACGACGCTATCAACATATCTACAGCCTAGGAGTTTGATGGAATAGGAAGTCTTTCGACGTAGGCGGAAAATAGAAAGGGGGATGGGCTGGCTCGCTGCAAACACCACAATTGGCTGGGAGTACAGAAGACTTTCCACCACATACCTGAGTAAAGTGAGTGCGATTTATGCAGTGATCATGCATCAAACTACACAAATATGGGCGACACCATTTTCTGACAAAACAATCTGTCGAGGCTCCCAGTGGCGTTGGTGTAATCAAGAGAAGGGGGCCGTACGCTCCTGCTTCTGTCATCCAACGCGAACGCGATGGAATTTACCAGATAAGAGGCTACATCCAACGTAGAGCGCTCTGTTTATAAGCAAGCTATTTGACATCATCATTATGATTGCGTATGAAAATTTGGGGGATCAGTTGTTTTTCCAGTGCCTTTATCAGCACGGACGTGCAAGCAAATGGGCGACATTTCCGAGATCTCTTTTCAGGCACTGGTGTTATTCTGGCCGATTTCCAACTGTCGTGGATGATACTAGTCCTTAAGCACCGATTCAAAATCACTATCAGAGGTGCCGTTGAAACATAAATACATTCCTTCAGAGCGGCTGCTGACAAAGCACCCGGTCCGCTAGCCTTGTTTGGTTCGGTCGTGTGAGCTCCTTGTAAACTCTTGTGGAAGGCTCTGTGAGAGGCTCAGTAGTGGCGAGGAAAGACAAGGGGTCTATTAGATGATAAGGAGCTAAACTCAGCGCTGAATTTGGGACATAGCTTTACTATGCAATGGTCGGAACTACCAAGAGGTGCACACTTTTGTGTAGAGAACAGCTCGAGTTTGTTAGTAAAAAGTAAATCTCGATACGCGTCGAGTCTGGTGTAGAATTTCACCAAATGAAGATTTTATCACCCGTTCAATTCGCCGACGAGAACACAGATGGAACGTTCTAATTTTGTTCGCAGTTCTAAGATGGTCTGCAAACCTTTGCAGCTGGAACAGCTCATCGTCCGAGGCTACATGCACATTCGCAACCAATAGAGTTAGAAAACCGCTCAGAAGCCTTCGTTCATACTCTCATAGGTGACAGCTTACTGAAGCTGTTGAGTACTCCGAGATTTTTATAACATTTACACCAATCTTTTCAATGTGAGTGATGATACCTCATCCACGATGTTGCGGCCCTCCTGGGCGGTCGGATATTATGTGGTGGGGACGATTGTGATCACGGACTTCACCATCAATGTGAGAATGCAACCGTTTCCTGCAACGTGACTATACCTATATTTATGAATTTCCTTCGCTGCAAAATGTTTGCTAGATCATCAGTTTTTCCGAGTACTGATCTTATATTTCTGGACAGCATCAGCGGAATTTGTGTCTTGTTAATGGGACAGCGCTTGAGTCTCATCTGCCAGCAAGCACGATGCTACTATTTTTCCTAAGCATTTCTTGTCAATTCTTTTGAGTTTTTCTGGTCTTGTGTCCTAAATAAACAAGAGGCGATTTTCGCACATTATCTCGAAGGTAAATCAAGTCCTCAACTGTGTATGACACTATAGGGAGCTATAAAAATGATTCACTTAAACAATAGTAAAATAATTCCTTTGAACACAAACACTGCAGTGAGTTGTGTCAAATAATAATTCAATGGCAACAGCAGTGGCTGAATTTGAAGTCGCTGTCAGTGTCAACCCCTTTAACGCATCAACTTTAGAAACCAACCTTATGCAATGACGCTCAATTCTAACCATCATACGTAGGGATAGCTGTATTTCTAAGGTGATCTGTCCCCTGCAATGCAATTTTCTGGATTGACTCACTTCTAACACTTGTCATATAGATTTGCTCCAATTACCCCACGAATGTCTCCAGCTGCGTTTCGAGGCATTGTCCAGCTTTAATGATATCCTAGTGTTGACAAAGCCGACCACTCTCGTCAACTTATTACGTTTCACAAACCATATTCCAATACCATCTACTCACGGTACTCGGACGAAATCGTTTTCATTAGACTATCATGTATCGCCGCAGACATATTTCTATGAACTCTGACTTGGTAATATTGTTGCATTTCATTTACTTGGAATGATTTTTTTCACTTCACAGGAAATTGAAGCATCTAGCGCCGGGACTACTCTTGGGTCCACCACTTCGCCTGCTGTTTGTGATAACTCACAAACCCACAAACGCGTCATTCCTGCCTCTGCCATGAGTGGGTGCAAGCCGGATAGCGACATGCGCTCATCTGTCTTGTCTGTTGACACCAATTCTAATGGTTTTGAAGGAGGCGCCGAAATGGAGATCTCTATTATGGTAATATTTCTTATCCACTTTTACATTTCCGTGGATCTAACGGTTGTTCTGTTATTACTCTCTTATAAATGGTACCATTTTCCACTGGTTTACGCTGCCCTAGACTAATTGTCGGTTAACGTAAGAGTGGCGAATTCCCGACAGGGCGCTGGTCGGTTCTGGGCATAGGAATATCTGCATTGTAGTGGATGCTTGTCTTGTTCACATCACACTTGCTCGCATCATCACGCCGAATGCGAATATTCACTATTCCCCAAAAGTATTAAACCGCTTGCGCACCGTTGGCCCACGGTTTCGCGGAACGATCCACTATCGGCGAGTCTAGACAGGCGATGCGACTGTCAGGATGTTGATCGCTGTTTGATTGCACATTTTTGTGATACCCATCGTACTAACCGTTTAACCTTCCAACTATTCTCTTCCTTTTCGTATTCTGGTGAATGCAATTACGATTTTTATCTACGTTCTGATACCCGTTACTCGTCACCTTGAATAGGGTAGCTTACGTATAACGGTAAAAGCTGTCAATTGATTTCGCTGCTTGCGATCATCAACAAACCTCGATCCACTCAAACCGACATCTGAGGTTGTTGATTACTGCCTCTGTGGTCGTAGTGGTGAGTAGATGGATTTTAAAATAATCACTATAGTAATCCACCGTAAGTAAGTAATCTGTCTCATTATCAGTGGATAAATCCACCGCCACCTTCTGCCACAGTCTATCAGAGACGTCGTGCAGCATCATTGGTTCCCTCGTCTTCCGGATTTCGTGTGAACGGCAGGCCCCAAAATTCGATACATGATCTTTTATTTGACCCGTCATTCCTGGCCGAAAATCAATTCTCTTGCTCTGTTAATGATATAGTAGGCACCAAGGTGAGCGCGATGGACGTATTTCAGCACTTATCCTCGAAGCAATGACGGAATCAGAATACGGCTTCCCTTGAACAGCAAACCATCATAGACAGAGAGTTCATCCCGAAAATTGTAGTAGGGTGTTTGTTCTTTCGGTAGCTGCTTCTTTGTCTCTCCTCACCCATTTAGAATAGCGTCTCGCAAAGTTGAAAGCGTTGCCTCTTCCTCCGTGTGGCGTCTTATTTCCTTTAGACGATCTTCTGTCACCGCCAAGTCCTGTACTAAGTTTACTGCTTCGACCTCTTGCGGATTATGCTCGATTACGGGCAGATGAGCTCTTGACAGTGTATCCGCGATGAGCATCTGTGCACCAGGCGTATGCACAATATCCACGTCGTACTTTTGAAGCCGGATAAGTATACGCTGAGGACGACGAGGAACAACGTGCAGCGCTTTCCTGGCTATTGACGCAAGCGGCTTGTGGTCGGTACACAACGTTGTCTTTCTTCCGAAAGTATAATCGTTGAGACGCTCCATGGCATAGACTACCGCATGCATCTCCTTCACCATCTGCGCATAGCGCTGCTGGGTCATGGTGAGTGCTCGGCTGCGGAAATTCAAAGGTTTTCCATTCCGTAAGCGAACAGCACCTATTCCGTCTTGGCTACTGTCACACTGTGCCTCCAAAGGCTTCGTTGGATCGTAATGCCCGAGTACCGGCGCGTTGCTGAAGAGGTGCTTAGTAGTTTCAAATGTGGTTTTCTGTTCTTTTCCCTAACTCCACTTTACTCATTTGTGAGTTAAATTCCTAGTCGGCGTCATAATATCAGTGAGTCTTGGCATGAAACGGCTCAACTAATTCACTATACCGTTTAAGCAATGGATTCCCTTCACGTCATTAGGAGGCGTCATCTCTCGAATTGCCTTAATTTTTCCTGTATCGACCCTGACTCCTTGCGTTGTTAGCAAATGCCCATGGAAAATCACCTCGTCTTTCCGAAGTTCCACTTTTTCACGTTTAAGCTTGATGTTCTGTTGCACACAACGCTGTAAGAAACGGTGGAGTTTAGCGTCATGCTCTTCTTCTCTGTAGCCATAGATCAAAACATCGTCTGCCACGCATGTTACACCATCTAATTCGTCTACCGCTTGCACCAATCCTTTTTGAAAATTGCACTCGACACCTTCAAGCCAAACGGTAAACGCAGCCAACGATAACGCCCGGGCGGTGTCGCAAAGTTAGTAAGGAAACTGGATTCATCATCTAAAACTAGTTGCCAGAATGCTTAAGAGAGGTCTATTTTCGTGAAACACCTTAGCTTTGGCCAAACGTGGCAAAATGTCATCTAAGGTAGGTAGCGCGTAATGCTGTCTACTCAAGCCGTCGCAACGAGCGACCTTAACGTGGTGCGACGCTTTGCGTACCTCCTTGACCCATTGAGCTATACTAAGTAACGCCTCCGAGCACCTTGACAGCTACTTTTATTAGCTTGGTCAATGGTGAGAGGTCAGACAAACTCAGTCTCCTGGTCCTCCAGGTTGGGGGTTTGAAATGGGATGGCGTCCATCTCTGTAAAACTAAATCATTGCCACCTCTCCGCTGCCTTGCACACGGGCTTTTGAGCCAAACGCTTTGGATGAAGACCCTACTCGTCCTCCTGTCTAGGTCTGGGCGCCCTGGCAGTATCCAAGCCCGCATACAACCATAATTTTTTTTCAAACATAACTTCATCTTGCATCGGCCGTCGCGCAGGTTATCAAGGGTCGCCTTATCTGATGCTTACAGCAGGGCGAATAAGCGAAAACACGCTATTGCTGGCGCCTCCTTTTTTCCCACCTGTTTCTCTTACTCTCATCCCGACCCCCATTACTAACCTATCTTCTATAATTCCCAGCTTAATTGACAGCAACCGAAGTGCCACTGGAGTAGAACCATCTGCAGCCACCTTCTCGCGACACGCACCGGACGCCAATCGGCAACAGCCACTTATAAGGCCACGCTATCCCGTTTCCATGGCGACGTTCAACGTTCGCACTCTAAGACAACCGGTTGCACTCGCACGCATCTTGGACACACTGGGTACTGATGTGTGTTGTGCATCCGAAACTAGGACCAATGACCCTAATGGGGTTGTTGAATTAACCTCACTCGGCTTGTCCTGTTGTTATTGGTTGCCCACATCCGGAGACGCCGATGCAGTACTCACGGGGAAAGCTGGTGTGGGTATTATTCTAAGCTGCAAGGCTGAGCCATCCTTGGTCGATTGGATCCTCGTGAACAACCGTTTATGTGCAGCCCGTTTGACGACATCAGCCAAGGTTGATTCACGAAGTAGTACAAAACGCTGTTTGTTTGTGATTTCCGTTTATGCTCCCACCGACTGCAGTTCAGATGCTCTCAACGACACATTCTATCACGAACTGAGCGCGCTACTACGCAGTGCCACTAGTTCAGATATTATAGTACTTGCAGGTGATATGAACGCACAAGTAGGGCGTTTGAGCTCTTCAGAAGCTCAGCTAGGTGGTAAGTATGGACTTAACTCCGAACGGACTGACAACGGCGAGCGTCTGCTGCAACTGTGTGCGGAGCACCAGTTGTTTCTTACTAGCACTGCTTTTAGACACAGTGGGCGCCGAAGTGCAACTTGGCGTCCTCCTGTAGCTGGTCAGCGATGGACCCAAATTGACCACATTGCCATAAGTTACAGGTGGCGCGGTTCCATTCTGGATTGCCGCTCGTACTGGAGTACCTGTGTCGACTCTGATCATGCCTTGGTGCGCTGTCGTTTCTCCATGAACTTTACCGGGAGGCGCCCCAAGCATCTCCTCCGATTGGCAACTGATAAATTGTCTCAGGCCTCAGTCAGGCAAGCCTATCAAGACGCACTGCATACCGAACATTCGCTGTCTTGTCCTAATGACACTGAACTTCAGTGGAATAGGATCTCGGCCGTTATGCACGACGCAAGAGCCTCTGTTTGTTGCACTACCAGTGGTCACCGCACTACTCACTGGATATCCGAGAGGTCTGTAAACCTGGTGGAATCCAGAAGAAACCTCCCGACTGCCTCTGATCACGATGTGACCAGACGAGCCATTAGGCGCGAACTAAGCCGGAGCCTACGTGCTGACAAGGAGGCTGGTGGTCCAGTAGGGCTCAAGAAATGGAGGAGGCAGGAGCAGTAGGCAGTTACCGCAAGTTCTTCCAGCTGATTCGCACCACTGGTCCCAGTAAACCAGGCATCATTGAGACAATCAGAGACAGCGCGGGTACGCTGATACACAATAAGAAGCGCCGTATTGCTCGTTGGGCGGAACACTCAAGATCAGTTCAGCTGGCCCCTTGCTCCCGGACCTCTTCCTACTCAGGTGATGCAGGAGGAGCCATTGACGGTTAGTTTAGAGCCTCCGTCAGAGGCTGAGGTTCAAAGCGAGATCACAGCCCTCAATCGTTTTCGTGCCGCTGGCCCGGATTCCCTCCCACCTGCACTATTTAAGGATGGAGGTGAGGTCCTCTGTAAAGCACTGACCTCCTTACTCAAATGTATCTGGGAGGAAGAGAGTGTCTCGGCTAATTGGAGCGAATCGATTATAGTGGCAATATACAAGAAGGGCAGTCGCACAGACTGTTCTAACCACAGGGGTATTAGCCTAACGCCAGTTGTGACAAAATTACTGGCCTCGATTATCGTTCGTCGCCTCACTGTGGAAAGAGAATCTTGGAACAGGGAAGAGCAGGTCGGTTTCCCCCCAGGACGTGGCTGTATAGACCATATATTTACTTTGCGGCAGGTGCTAGAGCAGCACCACGCATACCGCAGACCGACAATAGCTGTGTTCCTGGATTTCAAGAGTGCGTTCGATTCAGTCGATCGATCGATTCTGTTCGAAATACTTGCTCGAAAAGGTGTTCTCACGAAATATGTTAACTTCCTTCGTGCTCCATACTCGAACACTACAGGCCGCGTCAGGGTCTACGGTATCCTGTCGGATAGCTTTTCTACCACAAGTGGCGTTCGTCAAAGTTATCCGATTTCCCCACTTTTGTTTAATTTCGTTGTAGATTCTATCATGGAGTGTTCCCTTGCGGAATCTCACGATGTATGCGTTGAAGTGCTATCTGGTGAAAGGTTAGTTGATCTAGATTATGCGGACGATATCGTCTTGCTTTTCGACGATGTTGGGACGGCACAATCAACCCTGAATAGCCTGTCCAGAGTGGACCCATTATTTGGTATGCACTTCGCACCTTCAAAGTGCAAAGTGTTGCTGCAGGACCACCATCCACTTTATGAGCCCTTGACCCTTGCTAACGAGGAACTCGAGGTGGTTGATCATTTCACTTATCTTGGCAGCTGCGTCAGAAATGATAGGCGCATAGAAACTGACGTCAACTCACGCATTGCAAAGGCCAGAACTGGTTTCTTGATCCTGCGGCATCTTTGGCGACAGAAGTGAGTTTCCCTCCGTCTGAAAGGCCGTGTATACAAGGCCACAGTGAGGACCGTCCTGCTCTATGGGAGTGAGACTTGGCCTCTTCGGTCTGAAGATCTGAGGCGCCTCCAAGTCTTTGATCATCGTTGTCTGCGTAGCATTGCTAGAGTCGGATGGCACCAGCGTGTGCGCAACGATGATGTGCGTAGGCGAGTACTAGGAAGTGATAATCATGCTAGCACCCTAGAACAACAGATACCACTGAATAAGTTGTGTTGACTTGGGCATGTGCTACGTATGCCTGGTCACCGCTTGCCTAGGAGGGCCTTGTTCAGTCTGCCAGGTGTAGGGTGGCGCAAGGCTCGAGGTGGACAGAAGTTGACTTGGCAACGGAAAATGAAGTCACTGTGGACCAAACTGGGTGCCGTTGGTCCGTCTCGCCTTCCGGGCTGAAGTCCATGTGACTCGCCTTGTGCTTGGCTCGAGACTTTACAGGACATTGCTTGCAGCCGGCACTGGTGACTCGTCTGCTACCGTCTCTTAATTGGATTGTCTGTTTAAAGTGTGTTTGGTGCTGAGTTATCTGCGGGGTAATGGCGCATTATGACGCGGGACAGTGTAAGCCGCAAGGAAGCTGTCTCGCCGATGCCGCCTTATCTTTGCACGAGAAGCAGCTGTTTGTGACGGTATGTTGTCTACACAAGAGGTAGGCGCCTTGACCCTGAATGTTTGCTTAGAGCATTAAGGTTTTCAGGTCAGTGCCGCTTCTCTCCCTCTTATTAATCTTTAATTCATAGGTCGTCATGGTTGAATGGCAGCGAAGCATCAGTTCAAATAGCTGATGTACTGCTGCTGCTGCTATTTTTGTTGTTCTCTATGCAAGACCACATCTAATGATTTTTGGTCAGTACACAAGTGCAGCTCGCCCATCTTCGCAATGATTGCGACCTGACTAACCCAGTCGGTTGGCTCGTCGATTTTGGTAATCACACCTTCTCTCACTAATTTGCTCAATTCAGCGGAGAACCTGTCACAGAGTGCAAATGGAACTCTCCTAGCTGGTAGCGCTGTCGGTCGTATCAAAGGATCTAAGGACAAGTGAGCGGTTCCCTCAAACTTTCCCAAACCTGGACTAAACACAGACGGATACTGGTCACTAATATCGGTTTCTCCTTGGCAAACATGCACAAAACGATCGGGATTAAAAACAACAAAACCGAGAGACTTTTTCAAATGAATGCGGAGATCCGGCGTGAGCTCCTCCTCCACGACCCCAAACTCCAATCGATGTGACTTCGATTGTAGCTGAGCCTTTCGGATGGAATTTGCAACCGTTCCACATACGCAGGTAATCTTGATCGGATCGAATGCACACTCCGGGACAGTACTTCCTTGGTAGAATGTTGAAGGTAGCACCTGTGTCTAACGGGAATCGTTCGACTTTGTCTTCCATCAAAAGACTTGCATAGATACCTTTTTACGGTATCCTCGGAGACATGTAGCCAATTGAATGTTCTGCATCTGCGGGGGGCTTGTCACGAACGACCGCACTCATATTAGTTGCTTGGCAGCAACAAGCGAAATGGTTCCTTTTTCCACATCCGGCGCATTTCCGTCCCCACGCCGGACACTGTTCGCGGGTGCTCGGATGTCGTGTGGCGCAAAATTCGCAGATCTTCTGTCTCATAGTAGTAGCCTTTGCTGCTTCGCCTCCGGAAACGGCACGCAATTCTGCATCTGTTGCGCGCTTCATTTTTTGATATTGATAGGTGGTTGAAGAGTCAATGTTGCAGATATCAGTGCACTGCTGGAGTGTGCTAATTTGCGTTGTCGCAAAAGCTGCTTTGTCGTACGTTCATAATTGAGTCCTAGAACGATCCGATCGCGTATGAGACTGTCGCCCAAACATTTACAGAAATTACAGGATCGGACCAAACTTTTCAATTCAGTGACTGATTCGTTTGGGTCCCTGCTACGCGAAAGGAAAAGCGCTGTTTAGGTCTCCTTGATTTGACCTTCACGAAATTCACTGAACTTCCCAATGACCGTCTCCAAATTATTGAAATCTTTGTCGCAGTGCAATGTCTCTAGAACACGGCGCGCGTCATCCCCGATTGCGTGTCGAAACATGGCCAAGCGATACGCGATCGGTTGTTCGTCCAAACCTATTAAGGTGCAGAAATCCTCCTCCACTTGCTCTTTCATAGACGCCAATTACTCGCCAAGTTCCGTTCGTCTATGTTCAGTTGGGCAGGTGTCTGAATCGGCGGCATTGATCCAAACAGCATCCGCGCGCCGCCGGTAGGGTTCGTCTTTGTCTTCTCTGACACCATGTTTCAGAACTTAGTTGTTCAGGGACAAGCGTTTATTCGGCAAGGAAAGCTAAGCGGAAATTACATGTTTAGCAATCCAAACTCCTTGATGTAAATTGCAGGTTCCAGTCCATGACTAACGACCCTTCTGAGTCGATGAGATCCTTCGATTGCTTCAGTTAAACAACCGGTGAATCATTCACACGAATATCGTCTAATCCGAGTCCAGTAATCGAATCCGTCACGTCCGCCTCCTATTGGCTGTTTGGCTCGCTCGGTTGGTCCATCCGCTCACTCTGATCTGATACTACCATCACAGCGGAAGAGACAAGCGCCGATGGGCTGTTCACCGTCGACGTTGAACGCATGATGCTGTAGCACATGCGGTCACGAGTGTCTGAGTCAGGCAGGCCTAAAGAGCCACAAGCGAGGCCACTCAGGACCAATATCGGAACGACGACAGGTCCCGCTGAGAACGCAAGTAGAAGCGTCGCTGCGTTTGTAGATACACTGCATTCGATTTACTAACAGCATGTTTTGTTGCTACGTTTCTTTATTTCAGGTGGTAGGTTTGCTATATTGTCTTAATGCTTATTTCCTTACCTCATTTTAATGTTTGCCTGAATATTCTATTAAATTGCAAATGTCGGTTGAACCAAAGGTGCTTAACTTCCTTTCTTTTCTCCATTGCTAACGTTTTTTGATCACTTTATCGCGACTATGTGGACAATCTATTACTTTCATGTGCTAAGTTGGAGGTATATCCGTATGGTGTTTTCGACCTATTTTATTGGTTATTCCATTTCATGTGATTGGCTGTTGCTTGACATCCCCGGTGTAGTTGCGCTTGATGTGCATGTTGACAAAGTGCCTACCTGTATTAATCACCACTTCGTCTATAATGGCTCTAGGAGACAGTTTGTCGTTGTTGGGGGGGACGGTTGGACGGTTTGCACGGTCCTAATGGCCTTGCTAGGCTCGAATAGTGGTTCCATTCACACGGTTTGTGTGTGTGGAGCGAACTACGGTCCAGTCACCGCCTTGCGTGCGCTTGATTCCCAAATACAGCGTGCTTGTGTTTGCCTAGGATGAAACGTGGCAGATGTGATATATATATATATATATATATATATATATATATATATATATATATATGATAACTTCTAATGTAGACTGCTTTCGGTTGGTACGATACTAGTTACCGATAGCCCCTTTATTGCCATTGTCGTCCGGTGGTTGTCCACTCTTCGTTCGTAAATCTGGATACAAGCGCCGCGGCTCATGTTCTTCGTGCTGCTCCCTATGTGTTTGTTTCTTTTACGATTGCTTAGTGATGCGCGCTCCACTGTCACATCTGTGTGGCTGTTGAATTGAAACTGAATGTATGCTATGTTCACTTTGCTGTCTTGTTTTCTGGTTGTCCCTCAGTTGATAAAAAGAATTCTTTTTCTAGAATTTGAACTTCGGCACCTCTCTGTTGGACGAAGTGTTCAAATGCTTCAGTTTAAATCCAGTTGATTCATCAGACAAGGAAGCCCGTAATGTGGAATGTAGCTCCCCCACGGAACAGTGCCTTGATGCCAGACGGTCAGAACCAACCAGTCAACTTCAACCAAATATATCCTGGTAATTATTGCTTTTTGTAGCTACTCCATTTCTTGTTTTCATCGGGTGTAGTAGATTATCTGGTGTCTGTTCTCCCGTCGGTAACAACGCTGAACTTGTTTTTCTGAGCTATGCCCATAAGACAGTGGTGTTTGGAATTTCGTTACTGCGTTTGTCCACTGAGCTATTGTTATCCATTGTCCTGTCATGCTGAAGTTTGCGTCTTTCTCAGCGAATAATCACCATTTTCAATGTTATTGGCTTTATCCATGATGACAGCATATATTCCATTGTTCGCCTTTACTAACACCAGCTTCATTTCTTTCAACTCCACGCTTGCTGTGTAGCGTTGCAAAATTAAGTCACATTTCTGACGTTTGTTTGTATTTAAGAATCCGTTCGAAAAGTTCACCGATTTTCCTAGAAACCAGAATTCACCATTCGGTTATCTCTGTTAACGGCCACTGAGCTTATCGCATATCCTCATCAAGAGCATTCCATCAGCCATTTGAACTGATGTTTCGTTGCAGTACAACCGCGGTGACCTACGGGACGAAGAAGAATATCCACAATCAATCTGTTTGCTTAATTTACCAGCCTCGTTCGGCGACAATCATTATTTCTTCCCTGGAGAAGTAACCCCCGAATTTTTTCCTGTGACTCAAACCGATAACACACTGCACAGATGTTCTGAATTTCGCTGTTGAAGCCGCAACTCAACCATAGTTTATTCGGAATGCCCGCGTATCGTCGTGTAGCCGTAGTGCTGTATGTTTTCCGTACAAAATAATCACCACTACGCAGCCGCAAACTTATTCTTGGACAGGGTTTTACCGGACTACGTTGGGCGATTGCCTGATGTTATGCATTCTTCAGGCAATTTGACCCGCTTGCATCGCAGCCACAACAATCGACCTGTTACACTCTTTCGGGACATTTGAAGCACTTGCTCCTCTTTAGAGTCACTTGCTCGATGTAGTAGGAAGCCAGACATGACTGGAGCAGATTACCGATTGTAAGCACAACTGTCCGTTATTGTTCACGCCACCTTTGTTGGCCTCGATGCCGTGACTCCGATCGCACAATTTGATATGCTTAAAAACAGCATGCGCTTCAAATTCAAATCGCTACGTATGACACTGAAACAAACACTATTCAACAACAAATCCATCTACTCATAACTACTTAGCATGGATTTAACAACTATGCAATTTGAGCTAGACAGGAGGAGCATTGCTGCGAGATGGTGCTATTTCATGCTATCTGATCATTTACAGACTATTGATCTTGAACTCAACCATCTGGGAATATACACGGTCGCCAACAAACTAGCGTTTGATGATTTTAAATGGAGTATACTTCACTCGGATCTTAAAGGGATACTCGGAGGTACAGAAGGAGCGACGCATTTTCGCGGTAACGCAACTCGAATGGATGGTAACCGTTCACCGGACATGACTTTGAAGGTTTTAGGTTGCTTCTAGGTGATCGACTTATTGACTTGCAGTATGCCAAAGATGTTACTGTCATTTGCGTTAGCTCACAAACCTACCCAACAGCACTAAACAGATTAGCAGTGACTGTTAATGGTTTCGGATTGTGCTTTACTCCCTGAAGATTTAAGGGACCACCCAATGTGGTGACCGTTGGTGGAGACCGTCAAGAAGGCTTTTTGAAGTTCTACTACCTGGGCAGCTATATTAGCGCCTGTGGACTGGGAGATTAGGTCAGAAATCGCATAGCAAAATCTCAAAACGCTTTTGCTACTTTTCGTCACATAGTTCGCAGACGCGGAGTTATGCTTGCCAGAACGTCGGAGTTTATGATACATCTGTCCATTCATCACTCTTGTATAGCTAAAATACCTGGTGCATTAGCTTGATAGACGTAGGGGACCAATTGGTTTCGGCTACTCATGCTTTCGCAGCTTAGCTTACATCTGGTAGAGACACTACGTGAGCAATGAGCGTATTGGACGTTTAGTTTATGACGCAACAATAGCAGGTGAGCCGCTGATCACTGTTGTTTCGCATACCAGGCGCCGATGGCTAGGTCGCGTGTTGCACATACCATAACACCTACCGGGGTCTGGGTGGAAGAAGAGGAGGGGAGGCCTGTCGATTCTTTTGCCAGGAGGAATGAAGCCACTCACGTCGTGCTTGCTCATGGTTAGTGAACTCCGACTGGGGTTTAGCTCTAAGCGAGGACGACCACTTTGGTTGGACCTATGCTCAACCTCCGCCCTCAGTGGCATATATGTAGGGGGTTGTTTTGTCTTTTATTTTCCCGCTTAATCTCTCCTAACCACGATTTCTGTTTCCATGTGTAATGTGCGACAGAACGGACGTATATTTTTGTTTTCCCTTTATTTTTCCATTTTATTGTACGACCTAATTGAATTGTATTGTGACGTAGCCGTTTAGATGCTTCTCACCTTTAGCTAACTTTAAGCTTATGATTATGAACCAATTGAAATTACCGCTACATCATTGGTTGATAAAGGAAACCACGTATACCCACTTAAACCATTAGACTCCTACAGGGACTATGTGCCAGCTAACTTTCATCACTCTGCACGTTAGTTGGAAATAAGAAAAGCCTCAGCTACTGGGCCGCAATACAATGCAATAAGATATTCGGAAAATGCAAATACAACAAATGAATATTAAGGGCTCAGGTAGAAACTGGTATAATCATGCGAACTGCCAGAGATCCGCAAGGTCAATCCACCGCTTACATCAATGCCGTCCGCGCAAAGTTCTCCACATTTTAAGTTGGTATGTTGCTTGAATGATTGGCTTACTTTGGCGAAACAAATGCTGGCGAACTATACGATTAAAGATACCTTCGAATTAATCGGATGTGTGCACAATATGAACGTTTCCAGTGAAATAATTTGTCTTGTGGATACATCACCTTTTCAACCACACACAATTAAGAGAAACAGGAAACTTCTTATGTGATTTTGTCACGAACACAAATGCCGCTCTTCAACTTCATGTGAACTATCCACTTAACATGTGTAACTTTCCTCTGATGCCCTAGCATATCGACAGGTGGTTGTGTCACTTTCACTATCCTACTTAGTTCCATGCATATATCTTCACCGTAATGGTCGAATCGGGTTGTAAGCCGAATCTCATCTTAATCATCACCATCATAAACAGCAGTACAGCAACCATTTGAACTGATGTTTCACTGCCATACAACCATGACGACCTACGGAACGAAGAATAGTAGGGGAGAGAGAAGTTGGACTTGCCGGAAAACCTTAATATTCTAAACAAACATTTAAGGCCGAGGCGCCTACACCTTGTCAATAACATACCATCACAAACAGCTGGCTGTTGTCAAAGATAAGGCGGCATCGGCGAGACAGCTTCCTTCCGGCTTTCAATGCTTCGCGTCATAATTAGCGATTACCCCGTAGATAACTCAGCACCAAACACACATTAAACAGGCAGTCCGGTTTAGAGACGGCAGCAAACGCGCCACTGGCGCCGACTGCGAATCATGCCATGTAAAGGCTCGCGCCAAACACAGGGCGAGTCTCTTGGACTCCAGTCTGAAAGGCCAGACGGACTGACGGCACCGGGTTCGGTCGCCAGTGACTTCGTTTCAGTCTGCGAAGTCAACTTTTGTCCACCTCGATTCTTGCGCCACTCTGAATCTGGCAGACTAAACGAGGCCTTCCTCGATAAGCAGTGAACGTCCATACGTAGTACGTGCCCAAGCCAACGCAATTTATTCACTGCTATCTGTTGTTCTCAGGAACTAGCTTGGTTATCAATGCCTAGTACTCGCATTCGCACCTCATCATTGCGGACACTGGTGCCACCGCATACCAGCAATACTCCTCAGACAACGATGATCACAGACTTGAAGACGTGCTGGTTTTCAGGCCGAAGGTGACAACTTTCACTATCATAGAGCTGGACGGACCTCATTGTGGCGTTGCATACACGGCCTTTCAGACGGAAGGAAACCCTTTTTTGTGGCCGTATATGTCGCACATTCAAAATGGTTATTCTGGTTTTAAATGGTAGCTATTGTCTCACATAACCGGTGGCTTTCTCTGACTCGTTCTCCCCATGCGCTGGAATGGCACTCGGCTGTTTTCAACGACATCGGCTTTCTCCATGTCGCGAGCCCTTGTCATTCACCAAGGGTGATTGGATCTTAACGTGATACATGCCCTTATAACCCATTGAGCTACGCCGAGTGACACTTTGCATATACCTTCAGAACCACTTACTGGTCAAGGGTCAGAATAATTCAGTCCCAAATTCTCTTCGGAGGTTAAGAATAGGTTGCTGACCTTCTTCCCAAGCCAAAGAGACAACAGGTTTACGGGTTAAAAGCTCGCATCTCGACTGGAGTAGAGTACGAGCGCCATGCATTGTCTTTCACGTTAGGAGTGCACCACCCTGTGCTGCGTTTTGACGAGGCCACATTTGTACTGGACTGGTGTGAAGCTGCTGAAGGTTTCGTTAAGTCCCGTTCAAGTGGCTTTTCGGTAGACAGAATGTCGTCAGTTCTAGTCAAAGATACTTCCGAAAAGGCAGATAGTTGTTGTTCTCTAACTCACATGTTAAGTAAACGTTCGGGCGTGCGTTGTTCATCACCTTGAGAAGACGTTGAGCAACATTGATGTTGGGGACAATCACTAGCGTAACATCAACGTATCTCCTGTAAGGCTACATCTGGTTCACGTGTGGGTCACAGCGTGCTTTAACCATTGACATAAAAATGTCTGCTAGCGTGGGACCGAGTAGACTTTCCATTGCAACGCCGTCCGCTTGTCGGTAGGATTCACCTTCAAATTAGAAATGCACATTCTCTCTGCATAGCAGAATTAAATCGTTTGGATATTCGACGTCTAACGGCAAGGTCACTTTTCTATTCCTCACGAAATCACATAGGTATTCCACCGTCTCTCTTAATGGGCCGTTAGTAGAAAATGATTCAACATCCAGTGAACACATTACTTGACCTACAAAGTTCATACTTTGTATATGACCTATCAGTTCGAACATGCCATTGACAGTGTGTTTCACGATCATTTGTCGGATTGGCGCTAGTGCCCTGAGTAACCAATTGACCAGTTTGTGATACGGAGTATTATTCATGTACAATATCGTTCTAAGAAGTATGTCAGCCTTGTAGATTTTCGGTAGGCCATACATTTGAGGGGTGTACGTGCTCGTTAGTTTGAGTTTGTTGTACATTGTTTCTGTAATCATTCCGTTGTGCAGCGATATTTTTCAGCCTGCTGGCCACCCACTGTTCGATCTAAGTTACATCGGCCCCACTTTTGTCCTTCTGAAACTTACCATTGTTACTAAGTATCTCATTCATCTTGTTTATGTAATCAAACCTATCCATGATGACGACTCCAGTACCCTTGTTCGACTTCAGCTCTATCTTATTCTTGGATTTCAGATAACTTAGTTCTTTGATGTGGTACTTGTCTAGAGTACAAGTTTGGCGAATCGGCGCCTTCATGAAACCACTTACAATGTCGACCAGCTTAACTTTAAGGCAGTCGTAGTTTTCCTGTTACCTTGGGTCAACTTTCCATAGTCACTCAATCAGGTTTTCGAACTCTGCTTCTACATAAATTCGATCAACTTTATTTGGAAGGATTTTGTAGTTCAAACCGAGTGAGAGAGCTTTCACTTGCTTTCTGTTCAAACATATGGAGGAAAACCTATGTACATGCTTCTGTAAGTCATCATTAAAGATGGATTCCTCATCAGGGTTTTCGAGGGACCTTTGTTGTGCCTTCAAAAGTTTCCTTTCCGTTCTGTCGACAACAGTCTTATAGAATTTGTTGAACTTGATCCGGCACGCTAACAGTTATCTACTGTAAGGAAAACGCCAATATACTGAAGCTCGCGGAGGCTGTGGCCATTAATCACACTCGTCTGGACTTAGGTGTACAAAAACAGCTGACTGTCACCCTCAAGCTTCATTGGAGATAGTGACACCTGTCTCAAACGTTATGATTCTGTTTGAGTGTATACCCTTTTGTTTCCTTCATTCCCATTCCGACACCATTCAAATCATTGCTTTTTCCCCTTTCGTGATTGTTAGATGTCGCTCGTTTGCATGTGTTCAGAAAGCGCGAAATGATATCGTCGTGCAACACCCGTCTTCTCATTACGTTATTTGCACTAAACATTATTGACGATATCATCTGGCGTTACTGCTCTGCTTTTACATACACATTTTCTTCTTGTTTTTTTTGTGTGCAGTAAAATGAACGAACCTCCTCCCACGAGCTCAGACGCATCTGAGTCCTCAGCTTGCACACCGGCTCTGGAAATGAACTCCTCAACCACGGGACCGCTTACCAACTTAAATCATCGGTTCCGCTCCAAGGTGCCATCATTCTCTCCATCCTGTTCGGATTTATCCGTTACGTTTAGACAGCCTGATCCAGACACGATGCGTAAATCACGGCCTATGACGAGGGAGAGTCCGCTTGATGCATCGGAACTACATACTTCACCTAGCCTCCGAACCCGCTGGAGGCGAAGTACTTTCAACAGTCTTACTCGGCGCAGCGCATCTGTGTCCAAACTTACCACCACCCCAAACTTATTCAGTACACTTGGCCGGAAATGCTCGGAGCCACCCGATGATCTAAACCAAAACAAAAGGCTTACCATCAGCCGACCGATCCTAATCAGCAAGCCGGTGTGTGTTGGTGAGTTCAGTCGCCTTTTTGGCTTTTACACGTTAACTGTAGCTTGATTTACTTAATCTCGATTTCCATATTATGCTCATTAGGCAAAACATCGGACTTCACTATTTCGAATCACTTGATGACATCCTCCTCGAGTTCGACTGCTGGTCACATAACAGATCCAAACCCGTTCACTCGTGGCAATTCTTTAACTACAAATACTTCTCCGATGAATTACGGCTTACCAAATCTCACAAGTTCTTCAGTGGACCGTGTGTTGTCCAATTCATCTGGTCCACCGAATCCAAGGTCAGACAATGTGGAGCATTCCACTCATCATTTACTTTCATCTGCTTCCATTCCTTCTTCCATCCATCCCCTCACTCGAGCCTCCGATCTCGTGACCGCTGATTTCACCGATTCCGTGGGAACTACAGGTCGCAGGCTCCGTACACTTCGTGCTGGGGATGTGGTCTTTCGTGCGGGGACGAACACCAGCGCCGGGAACGTGGCTTTGAACTCTCTTCGAAAACCAACCGGTCCCTCTTTATCCGGCCACGCTAATGGAACCAGACCCATCATTTCTCGGTACGCGTTCCCTCTTCAGTTCGCACAAATGCTTAGGTGTGCTATATTGCAGCTAGCTGCCTCGTTTCCAACCTTGCATGGAGTTGGCAGGCAACCGCCAATGACCATTTTTGTCAACAACTCTTTTGTGATAATTATTCACTTTGTCACATCAGCTCGATCAGATAAGGATGTTGTTGTAATCCGTTCACCTCTTTTAAAAATTTTGGTTCTCTCTGAGATTCCTATCAGTTTGCCTGCACTCACTAACGTGAATTCTAGTGTCCACTTTTATACAGTGAATGGGATTCGCCTCTAGGTAGGCAATTAGCAAGGACGCCGTCAGATGATAAACCTTTCAGATCCGTACTTTCACCCAAATTCGACATCACATTAGGGAACTAGATCAAGTATATCATCTTAGTCGACTGACTTTTCTGACCGCTATGCTAATCTACCTCTAACCGAGCATTGTTGCATCCTCGTATTTATTCTGAATCACTTTTGCACCCGCTCCACTAACTCAAATTATTCTCTGGCTGTCCATCTTGCTAGCCGAGAGATGGAAGCGCTGCCGGTTTGCATTTGGTAAACTGCGGATATTAGTTAGTACTCCGATCTAAATGTTATGTTTACAGCGATTTCGGCAGCAAGTCAGACAACAACGTCAACGCAACCTCGTGTTCATCTCGGAGAACAGTCTATCATCCTCATCCACATGGAAAGCTACGAGTGTTTCGCACAAATCGCACACGGCGGAGCACTAATGCCAGCACTTCACAGCAACCTTTTTTCTTTCCAGTAGCTTTATTACTCGTTGGCTACGCTCCGATCGACTTCATTCAAACAGACGAATTCTCTGTTTGTTAACCTACTTGTGCCTCGGTATTTGCAATTTCTTTCTGCTTTTTAAAAAGATAACCACCTAATGCTTAGATAGGGGACTACATAGAGAAGCCCGACTGGACACTCAAATCCAACTGGGTTTATATTAACTTCGGTACTTATGTGTTATGGTTCCCAAGCGTTTTGGCGCTTGTCAACTGGCTGGCTTGCATTTGGCTAACGTAATGACCCCCTTCGCCACAGGCCTGATTCGAATTGTTCCTGTTCACGATGTATCTCATTTTTGTGTGAGAGAAGTGATCTTGCCGACTACAACTTCACTAACATTGCATTGAGTTGGTATCGGATTACCGTCAAACGGCATCGTACTTTTTTCTATTCAGTCGATGGTTTTGTGTCGCGCGTCCGCTTCCATTTTTATTGCCGTCCTTGCACAAAAGGCCGCAAAGACCTTGTGTTCCCTTGTCTTGTTTGAGATGACTGAACCACTTTTGTTCGTGTCCAGACGTGAACCTTACTTTATTGCATGGATCGGTGTTATCGCCATACTTTTAGCTGTTAGTTGGTTTCATGCGGCAGGATTGGCACCCTTCACGCACGCGATATCAATCGAATTCCAGTCACTTGTGAAGGCAGACAGGACCAAGTGGTTAGCTTACTAATATTTTAGTAACCTTTTTCTCTGGATACCAAAAACGCACCTGAAACTGATTGCGGTGGCCATTTTGAAACATTCCCTGTGTGAATGAGTTACGACACGGTATTTCAATTTGTGACTAGGTTCACTTTGAAGTGAGTCTCGGTATCTGAAAGTAATCATGAGCTCGGCCTTGGATTACACTGTTGCGGACGAGCAGCGTCCAACATTTATCTTCACCTGAAACTACATTAATAATAAAATTGTTTGCTTCCGTTCTTTCGAATCTTTCGCGCTTCAGTTATGCATGTAACCTTTTAGCATGGCCTCAATGAATCTAACAATATTAGCATTCGTTGCTATCACCGTAGAGGATATCCAGTTCGTTTCGAACTATGTCAACTGTCGGTAGGAAACAAGGAAAAGAAGATGATGGAGACATTCTCAGTGGTCTGCTTTCCGTTCTACAGCCCGATGTATGCAACGGATAGGTTTCCATTTTTATTTCTTGAAAGATCGGTGCAAGTTGAAGCCTAACTTAGGGCCAAATACGAAGTTTTCAATCAATCAAATGAATTAGTTTTGAATAGATTGGATGGTCATTTTGAAGGACGCGCTTTGTGGCTTGATTGCACCGCGCAATCTCAATGTGGACTAAGATTCGCATTGATGTGAACCTTAGTCAATTCGATCACGGGGACCCTAACTGATGAAGCAGATGGCTATTAGGTGTTGCCCGTTTACAGTGTGTTTTTTTTAATTCGCAATTCGCTCACATAACGAATACTTTGAAATCATCTTCTAATCAATCACAAACCGTTGTGACAAGCGTTACCCTCCGCGATTTGGTGGTTTAGGGTAGAGGTATCAGCGAATGTCCCAAAATTCTTGGGTTCGTTTGTCTGCTATATCTACGCGATTAGACCAAATATGTTTCGGACCGGTCGGGAAGTACAGTGATGAATAGATTATACATGGTTTATTTCGCTCCCATTATGAAAATTACTATGTTACATTGTGGACCAAAGATTCTTAGTGTCGGATTACCAGAGACACAACTACGCTATTCCCCTTCGTAATCCCTTCACAACGATATCCGCAGAACATTGTTAGTCGAATGTTGCTCATATTTTTCTTCTTTCATTTGTTGTAGACCGATTTTGTCAGAGTGCACCATTTTAATGAGCCCCAATAGCAGCAGCTATTTTTTCATTTCACAAGTGTTCTGGGTGGCTATTGCAGTCCTTAAGATAGGGTCGATTAGTCCGGCTAACGGTGGTATACAATCAGCAGCCGTTTTTAGGCAACAACAGTTTTACAAAGAAATAGGTAACCTTTCCTGATACTGATACTGATTAGAAGCAACGAGTAGAGCATACTCTGTGTAGCTGCATCAATTGTCGCTCTTGGACATTAACGTATTAATTATCGTTCAGCTCTTTATATTTTGCCTCTGCAATGTGTTTGTCTAGAAGCTTCTTAAATTCGGCCACTGGATTCGCCTCTATTACTGGCTGCGGCAGGTTGTTCCAGGTATTCACCACTCTACGTTGGAAACAGAGTTGGTGAGCTACCCGCTTCAACTGCGGTACGATAAGTTTGTACCGGTGTCCTCGCGTGCTGCTTGGTGTGCGCAGATGAAGCAGTTGTCTCAACATGGGGTAATCACTCAGATGTAATATCCGGTGTGTCATGATTAGGTCAACCCTCAGCCGACGATATGCTAGGGTGTACAGCCTAGTTTCTTACATCGGTCTTCATATGGCATACCTCGTAAGTTGGGAATCAGCCTAGTGGCTACATGCTGCACCCGCTCAAGCTTTCCTACCTCGTCCAGCGTGATGGGACAATATGCGGGAGAGCCGTACTCTATCATCGGTCGTATTATCGAGACGAAGAGGCGAGTGGCAATCTCTTCGGACCAAGTGCTGAAGCTGCGCCTGAGCGCCCAAAGCATCCGAAGGCTGTTTTGGTACAGCCTATTCGTGTTGTCAGTGGACTTTAGGTTGCAGCGTGAGAGCGCACCGAGGTCGCGCACGAAAGAAGCGGGATGCAGCGGTTGACCAGCCACTGTGTACGTTCGGCTGTGCTCGCATTTACCCAACCTCATGAATTGCGACTTAGCAGGGTTGATCGGAAGGTTTACCTCTGCAGACCATGTTGAGATGCTGTCGAGATCCTGCTGAAGTAAATCACAATCATTGAGTGTGTGGATTACTCTCCACATCTTCAAGTCATCTGCGAGCAACGCACCTGGTGATTGGAGTAGCTTAGGCACATCGTTTACATGGATCAGAAACAATATCGGCCCCAGTACAGTGCCTTTGGGCACGCCGCTGCTCGATGGATACCAGTCCGTTAGATGATTGTCCACCTGGACTCTCCACTTTCGATCAACAAGGAAATTTCTGATCCATTTGTGTAGCGAACCACCAACACCGTACATCCTCGGCCTGTCACGGAGCACTGCATGGTTAACCTTGTCAAAAGCCTTACTGAAGTCAATGTAAATGACACCGACTGAATGGCCTTGGTTCATCGCTTGTAACCACTTGTGCCTTGTCAACATTAGGTTGGTGCTGCACGAGCGACCTTTCAGGAAACCATGCTGTGCGGAGGTCAACAGGTTTTTCGACTCGAGAAGCTGTAGAAGGTTCTTCTTCACGATCCTCTCGAGCGTCTTTGCCAAAACAGCAGTCAGGCAGATCGGCCGGTAGTATTCCACTTTACTTGGGTTACCACCTTTCGGTATAGGCTTTACGACCGAGTATTTCCAGTCGTCTGGTAACAGTCCAGTAGATAGTGACCTGTTAAACAGTTCAGTTACAGAAGACGCGATGGTGGCTGATAGGGACTTGAGAATCAGTGGGTGTATACCATCTGGCCCAGCAGGCTTTGTCCCGTCAAGATTTGCTAGAAACTTGCGCACATCCTCAATATTGCAGTCCGGGCTGTTAAGTTCGGCTAGAGCGGTACTCGTCGAACTCGTTACAGACACCTGGTCACTTGCAAATACGGAGGCGAAGTGCGTCGCCAATGCGGACGCACGATCTGCACTCGAGGTTAGGGGTTGTCCATCGGAGCCTTCTAACACTGGTACATTGGCTACAGGCCTCAGGCGCCGTTTCACGTATGCAAAGATCCTCTTAGGAGCAGTTTTTGCGGCCGCTGCAAGCTCCTCTTCGAAGCTTCTGCGTTTTCTTGTTTTCGCCTTGTTGCAGGGATTTCGCTGGACCTTGTAGGCATTGTAGTCCTCATCAGAGCCAGCTAACACGAAGTTGTTCCATAGTCTGCGTCGTCGTCGGGCCAGTTTGTTGTACTCTTTGTCGAACCAATGTGGTTTGACTGGCTCAACTTTTCGAAATTTGAGGGTTACAAATCGGGCGCACAACGATTTTACTCCCTCTATAATGATAGTCCAACAGATTTCAATAGATGAATCCTGTGGTAAAGACCAGTCTATCTGGCTCGCTGCTCGAATGAGGCCATTAAAGTCCACCTTCCAATAGTTGAAGGTTGGCTCCCGTGGGGTAGAATA